AACGAGGAAATAAAGTAGCCCAAGTGGCAGGTGTACCAGCCTTGGTACCTCAGATACCTCTTGGGGAGGCTGCACCCAAGCGCCAACCAAGTCAGTTTTCTCCTCTGTAGAAGGGAGACCACCAGGTCCATTGAGCTCGTTGCAGATTGTTTTTTCGGAGTGCGTACGGATGGGAGATGGTGGGATGATGGATTCCTGTGCCAGAGCCTACTTAGCCGTGGGAATCCCGCAGGAGTCAACTAGAGGGGTCCCGTGCCTCAAGGTCCTGAACTCAAAGCTGCCGAGTGGCCGGGCTCCTGTTCACACCTCAGGTGGAAAGGGTTTTTGTGGAGATAGTGATTATTATTACTCTGTCAGGTTTGATATAAAACAGCTGTGAGGGTGTTGAGGGGTATAATGTTCTGCGTTGAGAGTCTTTCTTCAGAGATCAGCCTGTGATTTACAGATAATCTGTCTGTGGTTACAAATGGGCTGTGCAAGTGAATGGGTTTGGAAGGAAATAACCTCGCACTTGAAAGACCGGCTCAGGATGTCGCTCAGTTCTTCACAGCAGGGCTTTTCCTTCCTAAAGGATGAGGGGTTCTTCTGTGTAGTCATTCCACACAAGTTGAATGTCCTGCTGGTTCCAGTGGTCTCCCCTCAGGGGAGACATCAGGGAACAAGACAAAGTCCTGTCTTCATGGAGCTTAAATTCTAGAGAAGGGACATAGGCAAGCCAGTGAAAGCAGATAAATAAAGGAGATCATTTTAGTGAAATGGTCATTGAAAAGAAGGGGACCAACATGCAGAGTTGGAGGAGGGCTGAGGAGAACTGCTTTTTGTCCTATCCACTGATGTGACATTTGAGGCACCATCTGAAGGGAGGTGGCCCCACGAAAACTCAAGAAAAACACAGTAAGTCCTCCTCACTTGATGTCATAAAGGTTTTAAGCCAAGCAGAGTATAATGAAAGTCCTTGGATATCATGTTTCTTTCAGCATGGGCCAGGATTTCTTTTTTCTCAACAACTTATAACAACATTGATGGAAACCAGTTTCCTTGGTTTATTTCCAAGGTATTTGAGGACCTGCTGTACTCCAAGACAGGCCATGCCAAGTGCAAAAGAAATCATTAGACCCAGTGATGCTTTTTTTTTTTTTTAATTTGCTTCAGTTGCCATGGGGGAAGATGTATAGGTCCAGGGAGTCAGGGAGAGGGGCATGAAAATATAAAAAGAGAATCATTATATTTCACCTTGGCCAAGTTGGGTAGGACTTCCAGTAGGCAATTTGAAATTATCTGGAATTGAGAAAAGTGATGGGACATACTTAGAAATTGTAAACAGAATAATGTTTGGTACCTGGGAATAGATAGGGTTACTCCATGAAAAAAGGGGAAAAAATAAAACTACTGTTAAAGGATAGAAATCTGGAAGCTTAACTTAAGAGGCATAGTATTCCAGAGAAACCAGATAAAGAGAGCAATAATGAGAGCAAAGGAGGAGAGAACAGGCAGGTTGTGGGTACCTAGGGGAACAAAGTTTTGTGGAGAGCACCAGGGACTAGAAGTTATTAAGAGAGAGTAAGATAAAGATAGTAGTGAAGCTGTCATATGTATATAATAATTACAGAGTCACTGGTAGAATACATCACTGAAACAACCATCTTAACAGTAGAATGTTTGAAATATATTGATAATACCATAGGCATTTATGTGTGATTATATTTGTGTGTATGTGTATATATGCCTATATACTAGCTATATCTATAAATGCTCTTAAAAGGACAGAGATAGGTCTGTGTGCAATGACAGCATTAGTAGATAGGTAAAACCTCCAAAGTAAATGATGAAACTAAAAATAGCTTCATGGATCAGTGTCAAAAGAAGTCCTTCTGGAATCAAGATAATTTTGCAGAAGATGCGGGAGGTAGTTAGCAGTACCACTGATAACAGGGTCGTCCCCAGGAAAAGAGGAGTTTCCAGGTTCCCTGCCCTACCCAGGAGGAGGGTGGAGCTGAGCAGGGAAGAGAAGAATCTGGAGAGAAGACTGAAGAGGATGGAAGCAGATAGGATGTCAGGAGACTTGGGGGAGGCACAGGGAGCAGAGAGACATGTGAAGAAGCTTTGTCTTGTTTCTTAGTCCTGAGCTGGTTGAAACAAATGTGGGTGAGAGACTGTGGGTGATTGACTGTGGGGAGGTTGACTATGGCAGCATTTATCTTGATTTTGCTTTTTTCCTCCCAGTCTTGTTTTGGCCATTTCTGACCCTTTTTCTTTGGTTCCTGCCGGAAGGTGCTTTACATCTATCTATGGCAGCCTTTCAGGCCTTGCTTTGGGCCAATCCCTTTTGGGTAGACTTTTACCTACAAGAGGATGGATAACTTTGGGTGTTTGATTTACAAACTATCATCTTTATGCTTGCTGTATTGCAGACTGATTGTATGAAAGTTCCTCTACATTAAAGATCTTATATGTTTTGTCTTGATGCAGTAGATAGTGGATCCTATTTAGAGCGAGCAGATTTGGGGGTTCAGCTGTGTCCCTTTCCCTGCCCTGTAACACATAAGGTTGGACATTTTCCTTATGAGATAGTTTCTACATTTATGCCATTTCTTCAGTAAATTTAGGGTAATTAGATTCACATCAAGTCGGAGATAGGCAGGCAAAGCAAATTCAGAGGGAATTCAAGGTGCTGGTGAAACTCATGGCACCTAGGCTGGAGAAGGGGAGACTCCCAGGGTGTACCGTTGGGGTACAGAAAAATCAAAGGAAAATTGAACGCCAGAGAAAAGGGGGTCCGGGAAAGCAGGTAATAATCACAAGCATTATTGAGTGCTTACTATGTGTTTTTCTTGTATTATTCATTTAGTTTTCACAAATCTGTGAGGTAGGACTATTACAACCCCCATTTTACAAGCAAGGAGGCGATGCACTGGGAAAGTAAATTTCCAAGGTCACCTAACTAGCTGAGAGCCAAAGGAGGATTGGAAGCCAGCTTTTAATCACTGTGCACATAGGAGGCTGTGATTGTGAGGAGTTTCAGAAGTGGAGTCACTCTGGAGGACTGTGAGTGAGTAATGTGGGAAAAAGGCCAAGTATTTTGAGTTCAGGCACATGAAGGAGCTACAAGCTGGGGGAGCTAGAAGGATGGTGAAGGCAGGTACTGAGGTTGTCCAGAAGTGCAGTACAGAGGAAAAATCAGGTTGGTGGAGATCTGATACTGAAGGTGGCACAGGACTTAAACATAACATGAAAAGTATAGTTTGTGCAAGTGAAGGGAATGTTAAGAAATTTTACGTGGTTCTTGCCTACAAATAACTTTCATTTGAATTGGGGAGAATGTTAATGTTACTTCTCAGGAGAGAAAGATCTCTACCTCTGGGGCCTTTTGGGTTGGGTTACTAGATGTGTCTTGTTTTTACCAAAAAAGCCATTATCAAAAAGCCATTGTTTGCACCTATGGAAGTGAGTTTGTTAGGAGTAAAGATAAGAGAAAAATTCAAAGTAATTTTGTTTCTTTTGTGGTTGATTGTGTCTCCTACTTCCACTACCCTAAGAAAATGCAGCAGCACCAGAGATAAATAACCAGAAAGTTGACCTCCTATCACCTCTTTGCTAGGTAGTTGCTGGGTAGGGAGTTGTGAGTTTCACCTTGGGGTGCTCTTCCCCCACAGCAGAAGGAGGCAGGTGTGACATCACGTGTTATTTGGTGGGCTTGGTTGTCCCTCAGTGCTCTCGTGGGCTTCCTTTAGAAAATGTCTTTTAGTTTTTATTCTCAACATCTAGCCCTTTCCTGGGCCAGTCACTGTTGAGCCGGGACTCGCTTTCTTGGAAATTCCTCTGCAGTGGTGATCACTGCCTGAGGAGAGATGGAACCCAGAATGTAGGGCCCTGGGCAGAGGTGGGGGGCGTGGAATGGCAGAGATTCACTTGGTATGTTTCCAGACTCTTTCTCAACAGTGGAAACAACTTGAAAACTAATGCAAGAAGTATTCTAAGTGAAAGATTATTTTCAAATGACTTAGAAGTTTTCCCGTATATCTTCAAATGAGAAAAGAGAATCCGAAGGAGTCCTGGGCCTTGGAAGTGGGCTGAAATGGCACAGTTAATGTGTTTGTCACTTCCCTGCTTAGTGATGTTTTGCAGCTTCAAACAGAGAAAGCTTTGTTCCGCATAAACTTAGAGGTTATTATCTGTGATACTGCAACTATTTCAAGACTTCTTGTTTTGATTTTTTTAAAAGCAGATGAATAACAATTATCCACAGTTCTAGCAGCCTCTGTTCCTTTTAGGTTTAGGATGAATTTCCAATGTAATTTACCTGCACCATTAATGATAAAAGATAAATCCGTAGTTCCTTTATGTCTAATTATCGTTTTGTCTCAACCAGAACATAGAAATAAGACCAGGATTTATAGAATACTTTTAGAGAACTGCATGACTTCTATTTTTAAATGAATGGCTTTAACTGGGCAAACAGGTTTGTGAAACTTTTTAAAATTAATGAAAATATGTAATTTGTAAGGGAACTTGATATTTTAGTACTTCTAAGTAGTTAGTACCCTGGACCAGATCCTAATAGAAGAGATTTATAACCATTATCTATCTTATTTAGGTCTTACAATAATCACATGAGACAGACATTGACTCCACTTTATAGAGGAATAAATGGAGACTGGAGAAGTTAAAAGGCCCCAAGTCCCACAGCTAGTAAACTGGACATCTGAATCCATGCTTTTAACCATTGCTCTCGCTGCTCTGAGCTGTGGGCTGGCATTCTAGTTCTGATCCCATTGGTTTAGTTTGCCACTTTTGAAGGGGGCATCATTTACTAAGCATTTAGCATAGACCAAGAAATACACTAAAAACTCATTTAAGTAGATTATCATCTTCATAACAGACCAGTCCAGGGTTTTGTCACATCTTATTTACGGGGGGGGGGGGGGGCTGAGTCTCAGGCTATAGAATTCCCCTACCAACATAGCTGGTATGTGCATAGCCAAATTCTAGAATGTGGAGTAGAGATAAATTCTAGAATGTAGAGTAGAGATAGTGTCTGAGGTTCAGTCAGATGCAGGCACCGTAAAGGTTTTGCACCCCTGGAGGAAGGGGCTCAGAAATTCACTAGTTAGTGATGCCAGCAGCTGGCACGGCTCCAGCAAGTAGAGTGTGTGGTCTGGAAGGGCAGCCAGAAAGTGCTTGGGTGATCTTCCTGATGCTGATCAGGGTACATTTCTGTTTCTTCACTGTGGCCTCCAGTAGCTCTTCTGGAAGATCCTGTTGTACAGCTGGTGGTCAGACTCTGACTAGCTGTTGTAATAATGGTGGATACAGATGGCCCAAGCAGGTTTTGGAGTGGAAGCCAGAGTTGCTCTGTGCAAATTCAGGTGTTGTACTCAGCCAGTTCACTTAGAGACTAAGCAAAATGTGATAATGATGACATACACTAGTTCACTCAGGCTCCAACATTAGATATGAATTCCAGAGCCATGAACAGTAGCGCTTTTTATTATAAGGAGACAAACTGAGGGTACAGGCTAGAGTTCAGTTGCTGTGAGGTGGTCCACGGGTGGTGATTATGTCACTCATTTCTCATTTAACATTTTTGAGGGCATACCTTTTTCTAGGTCGGTGTTCTGGGCACTGGGAATTCAATCACAGATAAGATAAAATCTGCCAGAAGGGGCTAATATTTCAGTGGGAGGAGACCAAACAAATACACACACACACACACACACACACACCATATCCAGGGGGACTCCAATCTAAGAAGGAAAATAAATCTGAATAGGAGCATCGCAGAGATGCAGAGATGGTGTGGGAGGGAAGAGGGTGCTGTTTTACGTAGGTGGTCTGGAAGTTCTCTCTGTAGCTGTGGCATTTGAATAGAGGCTTGCAAGTGCAGATAAGCCCTGTGGACATCTGGAGGAAGCATATTGTAGGGGAAAGAAGTAGCAGGTGCAAAGCCCCTGAGGCAGGAGCATACTTGGTCTATTCCAGGATATCTGCAGGGAGAGGAGTGGCTGGAGGCCCAGCAAGCAGGCGGAAGGGAGTGTCTGGAGCTCAGTGAGAGAGGTTTGCCTGTGGTGTGGTGAGGACTTTGCACCACACTGCAGTGACATGGGAAGCCCTTGAAAAAACTTGAATAGAAGACTGCCAAGATGTGATGTGCATTTTTTTAAAGGTTTATTTATTTATGCATACAGAGCTGGGGTACAGGCCAGAGGTGCAGGGGTAGTAGTGGACTCACCAGAGACATAGTGAGCTGCAGAGCAGGCAGATTAATGAAGTCCACTGCTGAGGGGAGTAGTGGGAGAAACAGGAGAGGTCTGCTGCGCCATGTGGGTCAGCTCTGGGGTCAGGGATCGTACTTGCACTGAAGCAGCTGTGGCTGGCTTGCAGTGCTGCATGTCCTAACCCCTTGTGCCACCAGGGAGGGCCAGTGTGATGTGCATTTTTAAAGGCACATTCAGTTGCCAAGAGTGTCGCCACAGTACAAGCAGGGAGTTGGTCCCAGGAGGATGGTGGTACCCACCAGACGGAAGCAGTGGTAATGCTGAGAGGTAGTCCTGGTTTAATTTTGAAGGAAATGAGTTGTAGACATTGTAGACATGAGTTGCATGTGCGGATGAAAAAGCAAGCAGCTGAGGTTTTGATCTGAGTCACCACAAAATGAGCCCTTTACTGACGTAAGGAAGGGCAAAACTGGGGGCTGGGGAGAGAGAACATCCTAGGCTTGATTTGACCGGCATTGCAGAAGCCAGAACTGAGAAGGGGGATGAGAGATTGAAGCTGTCCCGCAAGTTGCCCTTCAAAACTCTGAGAAAAGGAAAACTTGTTCTGAGTCCAGGAGGAGGAGCATATAAAGAAGGGGAATAATGTGGCCTTTACTGAAGCATAAGTGAGTTAAAAATATAAGAAAACAGATATAACCAGATGAACCAGAGTAGGAGGCACCTTGATGAGCCTCAAACCTTTGGGAAGATGCAGTTGCTGAAACTGAGGTTCAGGAATGAACTTGTTCTCAGACTCATAAAAGAAAAAAAAAATTTGATTT